ACTTCCCCGCCACCCTATAGCAGAAATACTGCTACAGGGTGGCAGGGAGCGCAAAATCACATATATATATGTGATTTTGCGCGCGCACACACTACCCGCGTCTCCATTCGCGGCCGCGGCTGTCAATCACCAGGTCACGGCCGGTAATTACCCGCCGGCGCCCGGTGATTACCAAGGATCTCCGAGGGTGGGGAGGGCTGCTTTGTTTACTAACAGTCCTCCTCCCTGTCGGCTCGGGCACACTGCTCATTCAGAACAGTGTGCTTACAGTGAAGCACCAATATACCGTCCCCCCAGTAAAACACTCCCAGCACACAGTTAACCCTTTGATCGCCCCTCATGTTAACCCCTTCCTGCCCAGTGCCATTAGTACAGTGTCAATGCTTTTTTTTTAGAACGATCACTGTATTGGTGTCACTAGGGATGTCAGTGACCCCAAGTCAGTTCCCCCCAGTGTCAGAATGCTTGCCACAGTCCCGTTATAAGTCTCTGATCGCCGCCATTACTAGTAAAAAAAAAAAAAATTCCACTATATATACCGCCGTTTGTAAATGCTATAACTTTCACGTAAACCAATTAATTTACATGTATTTGGATTTTTTTTTAGCAAAGACATGTAGCAGAATACATTTTGGCCTAAATTTATGACAAAATTTGTTTTTTTTTTACTGGACATGTTTAATAGCAAAATGTCAAAAGTACTGTTTTTTTCTCAAAATTGTCAGTCTTTTTTTTTTATAGCGGAAAAAAGAAAAATTGCACAGGCAATCAAATACCACTGAAAGAAAGAAAGCTCAATTCATGGGAAAAAAGACATAAATTTAATTTGGGTGTAGCATTGCACGACCGCAGTTGTCAGTTAAAGTAACTCAAAAAATGGCCTGGTTAGGAAGGGGGATAAATCCTCAGGATAGCAAGTGGTTAAACTACTATAAGCTTAGTGGTTATTGGTTACTATGCAGCACTATACATCATTGCTTTTTGCACAATATTTTGATTATAAACTGATATGTTTATGTACACAAAAATCATCCTTGTTAGCAAACCTGGAAAGAGCAAGTCTCTATTAAGCAACTAAGATTATTATCACATTAGCCACTACATAAAAGAAACCTGCTAAATATTATCCCATTAGCCCCCACATAAAAGAGACCTGTCGTATATTATTCAGTTAGCTCTTCCAGAAAAGAGAACTTTGTTCAATTAGCATCCTCATTGTAAGCTTCATATTTCCCATCCAGTCTGCAACCCAGTACTACAGCCACTAATTAACCCTTTCATGTTCATTTGTTGTTTTTTGGGTTTTTTTTGGCACAAGCAGAGATTCATAGCAGCACCTTTACAACCAAAGACTGCTCAGATCAATGAGGCACCTTATAACTTAAAAACATATTTCCACCTTTTTCAAAATGTATACCGTATTTTTTGCTCCATAAGACACACCTGACCATAAGACGCACATAGATTTTAGAGGAGGAAAACAAAAAAAAAATTCTGAACCACTGGACTGCAGATATAGTACAGGAGATGACCAGAGACTGCGGACATAGTACAGGAGATGACCAGAGACTGCGGATATAGTACAGGAGATGACCAGAGATTGCGGACACTGTACAGGAGATGACCAGAGACTGCGGATATAGTACAGCAGATGACCAGAGACTGCGGACATAGTACAGGAGATGACCAGAGATTGCGGACATAGTACAGGAGATGACCAGAGACTGCGGACAGTACAGGAGATGACCAGAGACTGCAGACATAGTACAGGAGATGACCAGAGACTGCAGACATAGTAAAGGAGATGACCAGAGACTGCGGACATAGTACAGGAGATGACCAGAGACTGCGGACATAGTACAGGAGATGACCAGAGATTGCGGACATAGGAGAGGAGATGACCAGAGACTGCGGACATAGTACAGGAGATGACCAGAGATTGCAGACATAGTACAGGAAATGACCAGAGACTGGGGACATAGTACAGGAGATGACCAGAGACTGGGGACACAGTAAAGGAGATGACCAGAGACTGCGGACATAGTACAGGAGATGACCAGAGACTGCGGACATAGTACAGGAGAAGACCAGAGACTGCGGACATAGTACAAGAGATGACAAGAGACTGCGGACATAGTACAGGAGATGACCAGAGACTGCGGACATAGTACAGGAGATGACCAGACTGCGGACATAGTACAGGAGATGACCAGAGACTGCAGACACAGTACAGGAGATGACCAGAGACTGCAGACACAGTACAGGAGATGACTAGAGACTGCGGACATAGTACAGGAGATGACCAGAGACTGCAGATATAGTACAGGAGATGACCAGAGATTTCGAACATAGTACAGGAGATGACCACTGAGGACATAATACAGGAGATGACCAGAGACTGAGGACATAGTACAGGAGATGACCAGAGACTGAGGACATACAGTCAGGTCCATAAATATTGGGACATCGACACAATTCTAACATTTTTGGCTCTATACACCACCACAGTGGATTTGAAATGAAACAAACAAGATGTGCTTTAACTGCAGACTGTCAGCTTTAATTTGAGGGTATTTACATCCAAATCAGGTGAACGGTGTAGGAATTACAACAGTTTGCATATGTGCCTCCAACTTATTAAGGGACCAAAAGTAATGGGACAATTGGCTTCTCAGCCGTTCCATGGCCTGGTGTGTGTTATTTCCTCATTATCCCAATTACAATGAGCAGATAAAAGGTCCAGAGTTAATTTCAAGTGTGCTATTTGCATTTGGAATCTGTTGCTGTCAACTCTCAAGATGAGATCCAAAGAGCTGTCACTATCAGTGAAGCAAGCCATCATTAGGCTGAAAAAACAAAACAAACCCATCAGAGAGATAGCAAAAACATTAGGCGTGGCCAAAACAACTGTTTGGAACATTCTTAAAAAGAAGGAACACACCGGTGAGCTCAGCAACACCAAAAGACCCGGAAGACCACGGAAAACAACTGTGGTGGACGACCGAAGAATTCTTTCCCTGGTGAAGAAAACACCCTTCACAACAGTTGGCCAGATCAAGAACACTCTCCAGGAGGTAGGTGTATGTGTGTCAAAGTCAACAATCAAGAGAAGACTTCACCAGAGTGAATACAGAAGGTTCACCACAAGATGTAAACCATTGGTGAGCCTCAAAAACAGGAAGGCCAGATTAGAGTTTGCCAAAGGACATCTAAAAAAGCCTTCACAGTTCTGGAACAACATCCTAGGGACAGATGAGACCAAGATCAACTTGTACCAGAGTGATGGGAAGAGAAGAGTATGGAGAAGGAAAGGAACTGCTCATGATCCTAAGCATACCACCTCATCAGTGAAGCATGGTGGTGGTAGTGTCATGGCGTGGGCATGTATGGCTGCCAATGGAACTGGTTCTCTTGTATTTATTGATCATGTGACTGCTGACAAAAGCAGTAGGATGAATTCTGAAGTGTTTCGGGCAATATTATCTGCTCATATTTAGCCAAATGCTTCACAACTCATTGGACGCCACTTCATAGTGCAGATGGACAATGACCCAAAGCATACTGCAAAAGCAACCAAAGAGTTTTTTAAGGGAAAGAAGTGGAATGTTCTGCAATGGCCAAGTCAATCACCTGACCTGAATCCAATTAAGCATGCATTTCACTTGCTGAAGACAAAACTGAAGGGAAAATGCCCCAAGGACAAGCAGGAACTGAAGACAGTTGCAGTAGAGGCCTGGCAGAGCATCACCAGGGATGAAACCCAGCGTCTGGTGATGTCTATGCGTTCCAGACTTCAGGCTGTAATTGACTGCAAAGGATTTGCAACCAAGTATTAACAAGTGAAAGTTTGATTTAGGATTATTATTCTGTCCCATTACTTTTGGTTCCTTAATAAGTGAGAGGCACATATGCAAACTGTTGTAATTCCTACACTGTTCACCTGATTTGGATGCAAATACCCTCAAATTAAAGCTGACAGTCTGCAGTTAAAGCACATCTTGTTCGTTTAATTTCAAATCCATTGTGGTGGTGTATAGAGCCAAAAATGTTAGAATTGTGTCGATGTCCCAATATTTATGGACCTGACTGTAGTACAGGAGATGACCAGAGACTGAGGACATAGTACAGGAGATGACCAGAGACTGCGGACATAGTACAGGAGATGACCAGAGATTGCAGACATAGTACAGGAGATGACCACTGAGGACATAATACAGGAGATGACCAGAGACTGCAGACACAGTACAGGAGATGACCAGAGACTGCAGACATAGTACAGGAGATGACCAGAGACTGCAGACCTTTGGGGAGCGGGGGGGGGGGAGGGCGGGTACCCGAATTTGACAGGTACCCGCTCCACGTCTGCAGAGTTGTCCTCTCTGTAGACTTGTGGGACAAGTGACAGGTCCCAGAAGACTACAGGTGGCCATTCACAAAGTGCAGAGCTTCTCATGCATGCGCAGTGGGCACCTGACCGTAAATCTGCAAGCTGCCACAGCCGGTTGCCCACACTGAAGATGCCGGTGCTGGGAAGAGAAGATGGCCGGTGAAAGCAGGACACCACTGGACCAAGGAACAGGTAGGACAGAGGAGTAGGTTCTTCTGCACAGTAGAGCCGAGCGGCCGTCCCGATATTCTAACACAGCGGCGGGAATACCGGGCCAGCCGCTCCATATTTGCTCCATAAGATGCACAGACATTTTCCCCCAGGCATCTGGGTGGACCCCGACATTAAAGTGTGGATTTCTCCAGAGCATGGACCAGCTCGGAGACTTTGGCCAGCTTTCAGCTGAATACAGGTCACAGGAGTGCAGAACAAAGTGCACTCCTGCGACCCACAGAAGTAGGGCCAAAAGAGCTTTAGCGCTATTTCTGCTTTTAAATTTCATTATTATTTATTTTTGTGAATCAAACAAAGCAGAAAGGACTTTATTCTACATAGCTCAAATCTTCCATTCCAGTATCCTTACGGCTAGGGTCACACTGCTGCAATCAGATTTTGATCTGACTTTCAGTGAGATTATGTACTGCAACTTGGATTTGGTTTGCATCTTCTATGGGGCTGGCTGTGCGCAGAAGCTGTATATCCATGCGCAGAACTACACCTGCATTTTATGATATATGCCCTCCTGCCAGGGGCGGACTGACCATTTGGAAACTCGGGCACTGCCCGAGGGCCCGGGGTCAGCAGGGGGCCCCATGAGATGTCCCTGGTACCTTTTTCATAGGCTTTTTTGAGTTTGGGCAAGGACACAGGGGCCCCATGATCTCCTATTGCCCGGGGGCCCCATGAGTTGTCAGTCCACCCCTGCCTCCTGCAGAAGGCCGAAGTCTTGTCCTGGTGTGAAAGTGAGGGGAAAGTTCACTGAGGACCAGGTCACATTAGGTTCCATTTGCACTGGGCTTAAAAATTCCAGTTCCCTTGGAAGAAAAGAAAAAGCTGATATAGAGTGTTTTTGTACACAGTTTAGGTGAGTTTACCATTTTTTTCTGCCAGAAAGCTCAAATCAAAAACACAAACACAAACCAAAAGGGTTTTTTCCTGCCTCTAAATGTTGAGCTTAAAATATGCCTCTGATCGTCCTACTGTGCATGGATAGGATAACACTGTGCTGCATCTACAGGTAAAACACAAAACGTCTGTAGAAGCAGCGATTTTCAAGCCTGTGTGCATAGAACCTTAGAATGTGTGTGTTTGCAATAAATGTGCAATACATAAATAAGTTGAAGTGTTGCAATAAATAGGACCAAATTTAGACCTAGGGTTGAGTGGGTCCGTCATACACAGCAAATAAAATATGCAGCAAATCACTGGATTTGCACAGCAAATACCATTTATTGCAGAACATTGGAATTACCAAGTTATACATTTATAGAAAGGGTAAAGTTGAGCTCCAGGAATTATTTGTATTGCATAGTTACATTGGTCCAGCTTGGCACAATGTAAATATACGTATCTCATACCTGATGGACTGCTGAAAATCGTTGCTACTAGGATAATACCTACAATCTTCTGGGTCCTGTTTGGGTTCCATGCGAGTGGCTACCCCACTGCACACCGATCACTAGGTGTCACTTACTTGGCACTGTCGCCATTAATAGAACATTGGGAAATTGCAGAGGCACTAGAGAAAAGGAGTGCTGCAGTGGCTGGGGCTGTGGGAGGTTGAGAAGCAGAGTGGGACACTGTTGGAAGTTGGGGCTGAAGGCTCTCCACTCTGCAGTAGGTTGGGTTGGCACTGCAAAGAGCTGGTGGGGGGGGGGCACTGTGGGAGACTGCATGGCACTGAGAGGCTGGATAGCACTGTAGGAGGTTAGGAGAGAGCATTGGTGTCCACAATAGATGGTTGGGAGGGCACTATTGGAGATAAGAGGCACTTCTGGATATTAAGAAGTGCCAACATCTGCCAAAATCTGCACGTTCCTAACCCCAGAAACCACTAAACAGCTCAACCACTCCCTCATCTTATCACGACTCGACTACTGCAACTCCCTCCTCACTGGCCTGCCTCGCCACAGGCTATCCCCGCTTCAGTCAATCCTGAATACGGCAGCCAGACTCATCCACCTTACCAACCGCTCCATTTCCGCCACCTCCCTCTGCCAATCCATCCACTGGCTTACGATTGCCCAACGGATCAAATTAAAAATCCTAACACTGACATACAAAGCTGTCCACCATACTGCCCCGAACTACATCACTGACCTAATATCCAAGAACCACCCAACATGCACACTCCGCTCCTCACAAGACCTCCTTCTCTCTAGTTCCCTGGTCTCCTCCTCCCATGCATGCCTCCAGGATATCTCCAGGGCGTCACCCATCCTCTGGAACTCCCTACCCCAATCCATCAGACTATCACCTACTCTCCTCTCCTTTAGGCGCACCCTGAAAACCCACCTCTTCAGGGAAGCCTACCCCACCCCCTGCTAATTGCCGACCTCCTCCACTCCTCCTATCACCCCATCCCCCACAGCTATCTCCTCCTGTGCCACTATCCCCTCCCTCCTAGATTGTAAGCTCCAAGGAGCAGGGCCCTCGAACCCCTCGTGTATCACATTGTGTTGTTATTGTACTGTCGCATGTTCTGTCCCCCTCTGTAATGTACAGCGCTGAGCGAACTGTTGGCGCTTTATAAATACTGTATAATAATAATAATTAAGAGGATTTGCAACTAGCTGGAGGCCCATTAGAAGGATGGTCATGGCCTGGTGGTTGAGAACCACTGAACTATGCAATACAGATTAATTCTAGGAGTTCAGCTTTAAATGAGTTCTGTAGCAGAAGTAAACACAGATGTAAATACATGCCAGAAAAACTCCAAGTAGATCTACATCCACCATCCACTTAAATATATAAAAACAGAGCAGAGAGACTGGCACAGCCTGACCGTGCTGGAACCACATCCACCCACAATTTCCTCTATAAATTACCTTTTATCACAAACTGATCAATAACTATGCAGTTGGTTTGCTATGCGGCTCCATGTACACTGACCTAAAAAAACACCAGTGCTTTTGGCAGAACAAATGCTAAATTTGGGCATTTCTTGTACTAGCGTTTAGCATTTTTTTCTGCCAAAAAAAGGTTCTCAAAAACGCAAAACAGAAGGGTTTTTTCTGGCCTCTAAACGCTGAGCTGAAAAACTCCTCCAGACTATCTAGTGTGTATGGACACATAGGATAACATTAGTTGCTTCTACAGGCAAAATACTAAACTCTTGTAGGATCAGCATTTTTTTAAGCCGTTGTGCATGGAGCCTGACAATAAACATTTTACAAAATGCACAACGCGTCATTATGAGGTCTCACTCACACATGCAGGTGAATGCTACCTTCCTTAACCTCTTGCCAGCCACCTAACGCATATGTGGAGGGTGGGGGGTGCAGTACCATACGATTTGTCAGTGTGTAATCTGCTGGATGGATGACAGGAGGGAGAGCCCACAGAAGACAACACAGCTCACCTCCTCCCGGGCTCTTTCCTCTCTGCTGCTTCTCTCCCTGCTCCAGGCTCGTCAGCTGCTGGAGGGAGAGATACATGGCCGTCGCTCTGCAACTGCCCTCCCCTGCACCGCACCACATCGATTTTCCTGCTGTCGCTCAAAAGGTCCCTTCTTCCGGGAGGCGGTGCCACCCCCCCTAAAAATTGCAGCCCTAGGCAAACGCCTTGTTTGCCTCGCGATAGATACGCCCCTGCCTGCAAGGCAAAGGCATAATGTGCTAGTATGCATCACAAACTAGCACATTATGAAGGACTTACCTTAAAAGAAGGCCTCCAGTGGCGTGCTGTCACCGCTGCAGAGACCTCCATCTTTACCTTGTCTTCTTTCCGGGTTCACGGGCTGCTGCTCGCTAGAATATCTCCTAAACGGTGCATCTTTAGGAGATATTCATTTTACCTACAGGTAAGCTTTATTATAAGCTGACCTGTAGGTAACAATAATAAATGAGAGTTTACTACCACTTTAATGCCAGTGTGTCACACACATGCATTTATGAGGATCCGCTGTTCTGTGCTAAAGCAGAGTATACACTCACCGGCCACTTTATTAGGTAAACCTGTTCAATTGCTTTTAACACAAATTGCTAATCAGCCAATCACATGGCAGCAACTCAGTGCATTTAGGCATCTAGATGTTGTGAAGACGACTTGCTGAAGTGCAAACCGAGAATCAGAATGGAGAAAAGAAACTAGATTTAAGTGACTTTGAATGTGGCATGGTTGATGGTGCCAGACGGGCTGGTCTGAGTATTTCAATACTGCTGATTTACTGGGATTTTCACGCACAATTATCACTAGGGTTTACAGAGAATGGTCCGAAAAAGAGAAAATATCCAGTGAGTGACAGTTGTGTGGATGAAAATGCCTTGTTGATGTCAGAGGTCAGAGGAGAATGGGCAGACTGGTTCAGCTGCGACGTTCAGATGGTAGAGTCAGAATTTGGTGTAAACATTATGAAAGCATGGATCCATTCTGCCTTGTATCAATGGTTCTTGCTGGTGGTGGTGGTGTAATGGCGTGGGGGATATTTTCTTGGCATTAGCAAGGTGTACCTAATAAAGTGGCCACTGAGTGTACATGTTCAGCTTTTTTTTTTTCATTTAACCAGGGGGTTGAATGACCCCCCCCAAAATAAAAATGGCAGATCTCCGCATCTACACAAACAATGTTTGATGCCAGAATCTCCCCTGCTATGCTATTATATTCAGACAGGTGAGACCCCCCCCCCCCCTCCCAGAATACACAGATCAGCACTTGCAACCATTGGCTGCAAGTGCTGATCGAATGCTGGTTTTCCAGAAACACGATTGATTTTTGGTCTGTGTGTACCTTGTTAAAAAGTAAGCTCCAAGTACACTGACCAAGAGCTGGTGGGAGGGGCTCCCAATCATGTGACCACTATGACAGCTAATCAGAGTGGTCACATAAGCAGGAACTTCCCATTGTTACAAACTAAAGAGGCACAGGGAGCAGGGCCAGATCTAGCCTATCTGATCTGGCTAGCAGTGTGACCGGGATGCATGGAACCAATATTCCTTGTTCACACTCGGCACACTTCTGTATCACGGAGTCATAACCCAGAAGTATCGTCTGACAGGTAGTGCAGAGGTGGTGCAGGAGTGAACTGGGAAGGCTGCCGTTAGTTTAAGGTGATTAAATAGAACCTGTGCCCTCTTATATCCGGTGTCCCTAACAGGGAGCCTTCTTATATCAGAGTTATTCTCAGAGTTCCTCTTTACATCAAAGCTCCTATAAGAGTCCCTCCTCACATCAGGTATCCTCCCCAAAGTGCCCCATACATAAAATATCCACATCAGATTCCCCTTTTACATCAATTACCTCATCAGAGTGCCCACTTACATCAACTGTCCCCATCAAAGTGCCCCCTATACATCAACTGTCCCCATCAGAGTTCCCCCTTACATCAAACGTCCCCATCAGAGTGCCCCCTATACATCAACTGTCCCCATCAGAGTGCCCTCTTTACATCAACTGTCCCCATCAGAGTTCCCTCTTACATCAACTGTCCCCATCAGAGTGCCCCCTTTACATCAACTGTCCCCATCAGAGTCCCCCCTTACATCAACTGTCCCCATTAGAGTTCCCTCTTTACAACAACTGTCCCCATCAGAGTACCCCCTTACATCAACTGTTCCTATCAGAGTGCCCCCTTACATCAACTGTCCCCATCAGAGAGCCCCCTTTACATCAA